ACACACACACACACACACACACACACACACACACACACACACACACACACAGACTGATATACAAAGACCAATATGCCGAGGGAACAACGTATCCGTACATAACATGTGTATTTACTCAGATTTGTAGAAAAGTTATTAGAATGTGAATTATCACAGATTTGTTTAAAATGGGCTATGGAAAGTGTATGCTTAGATTTGTAGGAAAGTTTGCTATTTACGTGTATCTGTATGCATGTGTAGGCTACTTAGATTTGTCAAAAACGTTGCTATGTGTATGTGTGTGAGTTGGGGGTTGTTGGTTTTTAACTTAGATTTATAGAAAAGATGTTGTGTATGTGTAGTTTTAAAAGTTGCTGTGTATGTATGTATATATTTGTGTATGTACTTTCATTAAATTACAGCAAAGCTGCTCTATGTGTGTATGTATAATATGTGTATGTACCTAGATTAAACTTTAGAAAAGATGCTGTGTACGTATGTGTGTATGAACTAAGATTAAACTGTAAATAATTTGCTAGGCGTGCCTACTTCTGCCCCTCTGTATGTGCGGAGAGCAATTAAAGAGGTTCTGGATTTCTATCTAATGCAAAACTAGGCTATTGACAATATGATTTTTAGTAATTCCATTTGGTGACCGCCAGCATACATTGGTCCACTTACTTGCCTGTTTATAGATGTGTGGATGTGGGTGACCGGCTACACTTACTTCTTACTTGTGTGAAGGACCGACATCACTCCACAAGGGACATCCCCATAAGCGCTCCGTCCCCTGAAGAAGCACATCTCCTAGTGTGTAGATGCTGACGGTTCCAAGCAATGGTTGATTCCATAGCCTTCTGCTCCTCCCACTCAGTCTTGAACTTCTGCAGGCGCCACATCCAATTCCAAGCTCAGGAAGTCGCTCAAGATGATGGTATTCCGTCTCTTCTTGTTCTGTTTCTTGTGTTAGATAAGTGTGTGGGTGGAAGGCATTAAGGGTAGGTCCCTACCTCTGTCTGTCTGTCTGTCTGTCTGTCTGTCTGTCTGTCTGTCTGTCTGTCTGTCT